CTGTACTTGTGTTTGGGATCGCCCTGACCCAGCAGGACCTTGCACTTAGTCTAATTATTGTAGGGGAGAAGGTGAAGTTGAAGTAAGTATCTGTAATCTACATGTAAGGTCAGTTTTCTTCCCTTATTCTGATAGTGGTATTCATTTTAGTTTCATTTGGGAAAATACTTGTGACCTGTTTTCCATGGTGGATGTGCATTGCCTTCAGAACAGCTTTTAAAAAAGTGGTATTAAGCTTAAGCTTGGAGTGGTTCTTAACTTCCACTAGGTGAGCCACAAAATCTAGATCCCTGCTGTCCAGGGCTTTCTGACAACCACTCGGAGCTCTCAAGACCCTTGGTTGCTCTTATAACCCAGTGGTTTCCAGGTGTTGACCTTCCCTGCAGGTTTGGTGTAGGATGATGGAGCAGTGCTTGAGTCCATGACTTTCCCCAGTGCCTTGAGTGTGCTTTTCCACTTACTTGATCTGCTGCTGATTATGCCACCGATACTCAAGGATATCCAGTCCTAGTTGTTTAATTACTTCCCATAGGGAGTGTATCGAGGATAGCTGGGTTTAAAGCCAAACAAACTAGGACATTAAGTCGTAGGCTGTCCTGAGGAAAGCCTTTGACAGTTGTAAGCTGTGCTGCAAATGATGGTGGGTGCTTCTGGGCCCCCTGGGCAAGAGGAGTCGCCACTCTTCTCAGCAGGGAAGGCAAAACCGGTGTGTTCCAGCAGAGACAGCAAAGGTGGTCTTGCAGCAGCCCTGTCCTGTTGTCTAGTGTCCCCTAGCTACTTTGTCCAAGTGGTGAAAGAGCTTAGAGGAGTAGGAAGAGCAAAGGACAAGTGGGTTTTAGGGAGCTGAGGAAGAGCTGCCCTTGCTGTCCCTGGCTGGCTGTGTGAATCTGCGTGTGATGCCTCTCCTGGCACAGTCTTGTCCCCCATGCAGTGACGGGAGAGCAAAGGTCTGCAGAGGTGGAAGACAAACTTCTTCAGGCAGCAAGGTCCTGTGTCTCTTGCCTTATGAAGAGTAAGCAGCTAAGTGCTACCAGTGGATAGACTCCTGCAGAAACGCAGCCAAGAAAGAACTAGCCTGGTTTTAAGACAGCTTGGTCAAGCAGCAGCAAGTTGTTCCTTGGTGGCTTGGAGTCCGGTGGGGCTGATTGACCTTGGTTTATAGTGGGGTGACCTGACCTGTGCAGAGGTCTTCGGGGTAGTGTGATCAGACTGCAGGCAGCATCCAGGGTACCCTCGTAAAGGATATTGCTTTTTTATTTTTAGTTTGGTCTGCACTTCAGAGTTTAGACCTAACCTTTATTTTGAATAATACTAGATTTTGAAAACACATTACTTATCTAATTGTCCAGTTACATTGATGGGTTTAATTTTTCTTAGTTTGAATAAGCCTTTTTATCATTACCTGTCTTGAATATTCCTATGAATCTTCTGATTTGGTTGTTTGTCATTTGCAAGTTATTTAAGCACTGCCAGCTAATTCTAACAGTTGTGTTTTTCTCTGCTTCTGTTTAGAGAGAGGTGCCAAACCTGTTACTAATTTTGTGAAGAATCTTTCTGCCTTATCAGACTGGTATTCTATCTACACTTCTGCTATTGCCTTTATTGTAAGTTATATTCCTCCAGGAGTAGTAAGAACTTCTAAAATGTATTATTTACTGATATTAATTGAAACTGCCATATCTGAGTAGGGGCTGTGCTACAGTTTAAGTCAAATCAAATGGTGTAATTTCATTTAATACAACATACCGGTAGTTGTCTCTACAGTTATATTTCAGAATCACTTAAATCCTGTATTCTGGGTTTATTGTAGCATAGTTTTGTAACTGTTGAAATAACATCACAGTCTAGGCATTGTTCTCTCATTTCTTGTTTCCTGTTTCCCAGTCCTGTAATTTGATGGTTACTTCAGCCTCTGGAAAATCTCTTGCTGTCTAGGGCTGAAATGCTGATATCAGCTATGTTTGATAAGCTGTTGTTCACCATCAGTGCTCTTTGCCATTTGTACCAATGAGAGACAATGCCTTTATTTGAGTATCATTTAATGTCTAAACATTGGGTCTGTGAGCTAAATTCATTCATTCCCATGCTGGAGTTTGCATGCTACAGTGACATAACTATTTAGTAGAGTTTTGATTTGTTTTCTTTCTAATTGTTAATTAAATGATCTAAATTGTTTTGGTCCCAGTGTATTTGGAAATATTCTGATCTCGAAGGAAATTATTGCTGGTAGTTGTAGCAGAATGAACCTGTTGTAGAAGTGTCACACACCTTTTCATTATATGTAAGATGTATAGCACTAGTTAATGCTACTTTGCACGGTACAGCTGAAGGCATATTGAGCAGGAGACTTCCCCTCCCCATGCCCTCTGTCTGTTCCTCCTTATCTACCGATTTTTCTCTCTCCTCTCCCAACAAACCCATTCATCAGATAAAATTTGAAAGAAGGAACTTCAGCTGTTGTTCAGACAACTCTGGCACCTTGGAGCTGTAGCAGTGCTTCAATTTTGGGGTTTTCCGTAAAGAACCCCTAACATCTCTTGGCAGGGAGGCTGTAGTCTGTATATTTTCAGAAGCTGGGAAAGGGACAGAATACCTTTTTGAAGCACTTGTGTGTTCCTACTTGTGAAGTAAAAGAAAACCTGTTTTCCTGCAACCTTTTTAAACTTGATAAAAATATGGGATTTAATTGACCTGAAATAATAGAGTAAGAGTTTATCCTACTGCCATCCCATATTGCCCAGTATGGGGCTAATTGTTACAACTCTTCTACTCTACCACTGCTTCAGCTACCCTAGGTGAGGTTAGACTGTATCATGGTCATGTAGCAGATTCACAGACCATAGGGTCACTTTTTCTTTTTCCTACCCCTTCGTGTAATTGCAGTGTTGGAAATACTCAGTGCTTCCTCTCAAGCAGCTGAGATCTAGCTAAGTGTCATCTCTGGAGATTTGGTTCAGCCCTAGTTTCAACTTCACATTCATGAATGAAGTGCTGTTGTCAGTCATGGTGTGGCTAAAATGTATTCATTTTTGTAATCTGAATTGCATGATTCTGAAACCAGTAGTACAGTGGGAAACGGTATTTCATGCAACTCACTGTACCCCAGTTTATAATCCATCCCTCTTTTTTTTTTTTTTTTCTTCTTTATCTGCAGATTTACATGAATGCTGTATGGCATGGCTGGGCCATTCCTATGTTCTTATTTTTAGCAATTTTGAGGTTGTCCCTAAATTACCTCATAGCCAGGTATTTACTTAAATATTATTCTCTTGTGACATTTTGCTTGAAAGATTTTTTTTTTTTATTCTTGCATTGAGTTGTAAACTATTTCTTATTTCAACGTTGTGAGTTAAATCTAACAAAGGGAAATTCAAACTCTAATATCCTTAATCTCGTTACTCAAATTCTGTAAATTTTGACTATTCTAAGGAATTATCTTCATATCCTGTGACTTGGGTCATCATAAATGATGCTGCATGTTCTCAGACAAATCCCTCAGCACGTTAAAATTCTAAAAATTCCGCATCATTCAGAGCAGTTAGAGAACATCACCTTAAATACTGAAGCCTGCTGCTTTTCCCTGGAGAGAATTTTCACCTAGGCCTAAAATTGCAATTTTGTCTTTTTCAGTATCTCTTGGCATACTTTATCCAAAGTATCTTCCATTTGTAAATTCAGTCTGTATTAAAAATTAAGACTTTTTGAAAAATGTACAATTTCTGTACTGAGAGGATCTTTTTAAAATGCTATTCTAGACTGATGGTGTTTTCTGCCTTAAAGTGGAGGAGAGGACCTTAATGTACATATTTTGATATAATTTTATGACTGTCTGACACTCTGTTCTTTGAAAATTGATGGTAGTAAATGGGTCTCTGAATAACTGGATGTAATTTTGTTCACATGAAAAGGAAAAGAAAAGAATATTCTTAATTATTTACTCTGTGCACACACTTCCCTTCTGTTACAAAACCCACAAGCAGTGATTCTGTGTATATCTACCTACCTTAATTTTTTTTTTAAGTATATACCTTTAAAGCTGTCTGTGGTTGGCCGCTTGTGCTTTTGTTATGCTGTGGGTTCTTCATTAATTTGAGGATTATTTAATTATTTTTTTAAGCTATAGTGCTTATTGCAGCAAACTACTTTTTAACCTCTTACAAATAATCCGTGTTGGCAGGTAGAGAAGAAGTACTTGCTCTCTTTAACTGTTTCCATAACTTCTAGGGGTTGGAGAATACAGTGGAGCATTGTGCCTGAAGTTTCTGAACCCATGGTAGGTCTTTGATTGGTTTGACCTGTATGTCTACGTTAAAAGTTGCACCTTTTAAAACCTTCCTCTGCGTTTCTGTGGGTGGTTGTGAAAGGAAGGAAGAGTGAGGTGCAAATAAAGACACTACAACCTTTGTCTTTCTCTTCCAATATAGAAATTTTTACCAACAGCACTCTTAGATTTGGCTGTTTCACCGTAAAATATTCCCAACTCGAATCATGTTTCTGGAATTGGTGTTAATATGCCAGCCTGGGACAAGTTAGATCCTGTGGGATCTTTAAGAAGCCTTGCGTTCCGTTTTCTTTGTAACGTTGTGAAGTTAGTGTTTGCATCCTTGCTTTAAGCAGGAAAGATTTCAAGTGTTAATGTAAGATGGAGCTCTCTGAATTTCAAACCTTGTTTCCAGGATAATTCTGTTACTCTTCAAATGTATTTTAAGAAATACATTTAAAAGTTCTAGATGTGAAACTTGTAACAAAAATGACATTTCTGTGCTAGACCAGAACTAGGTCAGTTTAAGCGTGTGGTCACAAACTGAAAGTCATTGTAACCATGCTGCTCCGAAGACATCTATGTCTTTCACAGCCCCATAGTAATCTGTTTGTATATACCATGGAGGAGAAGCATCAAGAGCTAAAGATAACTGCAATCAAAGACATAAACTGTAGATCTGAAACAAGGGAGGAACTTGATAAATTTAAAGATTGTTTCAAGTGAGAATATTGCCAAAAATGTCAAGGGGTCGCCTTGTCATGAGGAGTTATGTAAAATACCGGTTTCAGCTGAGCTGAAAATTAATGGATTGTCTCTTTCTTGCCCAAGGAACCCCCAAAAGAAGACCTGACTGTGTCTGAAAAGTTTCAGCTTGTTCTAGACGTGGCTCAGAAGGCGCAGGTACTGTGCTGCTCTCAGACCTCTTTGGCTGCTTCCTTAGAATCAAGGAGCTTCGTAGTCCAAGTGGTCAAAGGATGTTGTTACGCAGCGTGTGAAAGCAAACACCTTTGGAAATGTATGGGGAAGATGAAATTTGTAGCTGCTGTGACAGCAGGGATGGGTCAGGGAAGATGCCTGAATAACCTCTGAGTCCTGAGCAGGGGTCAGTTTGCATCAACAGTTGTTGGAATTACATGGGATCTAGAAACTCCAAGGGTGAAATTATAAAAACCTCATAATGGTGTGTTTCCAAAAACTCTAGCAGTCCAACACTTGATGAACTCAGTAACCACTTCCTGAAATTTCAGTGCTCAGAATCTTTGAAGAAGCTTCCCATTTTGTTATCTACTGGCAGAAGCTCTTAAGTTCCAGATTTACAGCTTAATTTAACATTTTTGCAGTGATGTAAACAATTCCCATTTGTGACAGTGGGGTCAAATAACTTCTTCATTTCTGACAATCAGTCATGAGTTACAGAACAGGGTGTTAAATGAGATTAAAGTCATCAAGTGTTACTATTCTGTTCTTTATTTACTCAGTTGTAAAGTACATAAATGGCTAAAAAGAAGTGTAAAAAAAAAAATCACTTCTGGGAATTACCTATTTCCAAGATAACTCTGTTTCTATTATGGGGACAGAAAAACCAAAATAATGCAAGACTTGGTTTTAATTCTCTGGCTTCTTATGCAGAACCTTTTTGGCAAGATGGCAGACATACTGGAAAAAATAAAAAAGTAAGTTATCTTATACCAGTCTCTTCCCTTCCTCCCCCCTTAAAACGAGACTTGACCAGTATCTGGAACACTAGTAATAAAATTACATTTCTTCTTTGTTTTCAGCTTGTTCATGTGGGTCCAGCCAGAAATAACACAGAAGCTCTACATTAGCCTATGGGCAGCTTTTATTGCATCCTGCTTTTTGCCCTACAGGATTATTGGGCTTGCAATGGGTAAAAGCAATAAGTAATTGACCTATTACAGTCTAGACTTAATGCATAAAAACTTAACATGATCTTTTAGAGGGAGAATTTTAGAGTTTAAGACAGAAAACCCTGCATTAATAAATAATGCAGTGGTTTAAAGTATTTTTATTGTGCTTGGCATTGTTTGTCTAGTGCATTTCAAAAACCATCTTGGAATACGTAATGTAATAGAAAAAGACTAGATAATGCATTTGCTTCCTCAAGAGGAGTCGTTTATGATGAACTGTTAGCAGAGGTCTTCAGACTGACAGCTGTAAGGCTTCTGGGAAGACCAGTATTTTGGGTTTTTTTCAGTCATGCATCCCTGCAATTGAAATATGTAGGGCCACATACAAGGCACAAAGATGGCAGGGTTGGAAAAAAATGAAAGGGTTAATGGAACTACTTGTAAGACGTGGAGGGTAGCTAGGCTGGAGAAAATGAACAGATTCCGGTGAGTGAAGTCGCAGATACTTCAACTCTCAACTGGGCATTGGGAAAAGAGGGTTCTTGTACAGCATGAGACTGTTTTCTCCAAGATGTGAAGCCACGTTCTGTGAACCAAGAATTCTTTTTTTAATTAATGATATGATCGAAGGAGTATTACTTTTAGTGGCATTGAACTTCCAACTGTTTTAGCTTGAACATAAACATAAGTTTGCTTGACCTGACAATTGAATTAGATATGTGAGGAATTATCTTTTTTCCTCTGATTCTTAGAAAGAGATCTGAATTGGATTCAGAAAGTTTTGAGAGAGTATTCCAAGCCCTTTTTAATCTGGCATTATCTTGTATAAGATAAGAGGACATACTGGACTGGAAGGTAAAGTCTAATGTAGTACATGAGAGCCCTCTGTTGCCATTTAAATTCTTGCAAGGAGCTGCAGAGAATGGTTTAACACTATGATTGAAGATAGTTACAGAATTTGTTTTCGTTCAAGAAATTGTTAAAATATGATCAAAACAATGTTCTTAATGCCCTACAACATGCATGCTAACATGATCTTTTTTTCAGGACTCTATGCTGGAATCAAGTTTTTCCTTATTGATTTTATCTTCAAACGATGCCCCAGGCTAAGAGCTAAGTATGATACTCCTTATATCATCTGGACAAGTCTCCCGACAGATCCTCAGCTCAAAGAAAGGTCTAATGCTACAGTGTCGAGGCGGGTAAGGCTAATGAATCTTTGTCCCCCTGCTCCCAGCATCTGAAACTCAGGTCCCTTTCTCCCTTCCCTTTTTCCCCAGTGACTAGAGCACATTAAAGGGAAGGTTAATTAAATCCTAACAGTCAATGTTGGTTCCTTTTTATTATTATTTTCAAGAGCCACAGAGGTTTTATACGGATTCTGTTTCTTGTATGAAAGGATTCTATTATCAGAATGTGTGTATGAGCATATATATATCTATATCTTGGAAATTGTATGAAGCTAAATGCACAAAAACAACACCATCCATATTTGTGTTGATTTTTGTAACATACAGTCTGTGTGGTTTTATTGTCAACATCTAGCCTTTTTTTATTCCCTTTCTCTGTTCTTAGACATTCTTTTTAGAGGAAATTCATCTGCTTGTGTAGATTGAAGGACAGCTAGTTAAAAAAAAAAAAAGGCTTGAGTATAATATGCAGCTTAGTAATGGAATAAGCTTTAACAGAGGGGATAAAGTAATTTACAGATTTAGGCATTATGTCTTACGGTCATTTGTATCAGATGACATTTTAGCGTAGTGGTGATAAATGACATTTCACCACGTTGGTACTCCAACAATAAATTTTTCTTTTGTAAGAATCTCATAGTTAAATCTTTAAATGTTATGTTTTGTGCATCTTTGGGAATTGTTTGGAGGCCTGATATGATAACTGAAAAGGAAGTCATGTTTTTCCATATCACTGAATTTGTCAATATTTATTAGTTTAAAAAAAATAAGTTGCAATAAAGCTTAGGTCTGTTCCCGTTTTATCATTTGCTTAATGCCTCCTATTGCAGTATCTCATTGCATTTGTGTAGTATCTGAGTACTGCCAGAAGCTCCCTGACTAAAATGTGCAGCACTTAGCAATAATACAGCCTGGGTACACAACTGGAGAGCAGAAGGGATAAACAGATGAACCATCAGTTGTTAACCTGTGAAGAATAAATACGGGGTTCTGGGGAAGATGGAGCAGTTGGTGATAAAATAACTGCAGCATAATCTGAGTTATTTCAGAAGGATGTAGAAGAGAGAAACAACCTCTGACACACAGTGAGTCTTTTGCTTCTATTTTCCAAGGGACAAGGGAAGTGAATGAGCACTTGGACAGAGCCATCCGTAGCCTGTATTTCTCTGGCTTAGAAACTTTTAAGCCCATCTTCTCTGTGCCTCTTGAGCTTGTAGTTTATCATTCACATACTGTGGCAGCTCCTTGCGGGGTCTGTCTGATGTGCCTTAGAAGTGGAAAGGCTCTGAATTGCTGAACTTGAATCCATAAACCTAGAGAGTAATTTACCCTTCTGGCTTTTCCTTCTGGCTTAAGTTTTGAGAAGTAGACTAGGGTTTTAGTATTACTCTGTCTGACTTGACAGACTTGGCTTCTCTCCCTGGAAAGGATGGGCAGGACCGCGTTACCTGCTTCCAAATGTCTTTGATAACATTAACTTGGTCCCAATAATTTCAGACAAAAACTTTCTTACCCCTTAAGAGATTTCTGGGAACCTCACATAAAAAAAATAGATTTTTGTACAAAAAGGTAAAATCTAAATAGGCTTTTCATTATTATTCATAGAAAAGGCAGAGCCCGAAAGCATGTAGTGCCAGCATATGTGCATTTATTTTGGCTTCTTATCATTAAACAGCATACAAGACACTATAAACTTAGATACAGTGCAGTATTTGTTGCCTGTACCACCACTCTGACCCCGTGCCGTTGGAGAACAATCCTGGCAACAGTACCTCACAGGTGAAGGTTGTGTGTCAAAAGCTGCTGACACACCAAGTGAAAAGGAATGCCTCCAAGTATTCCTACCTCCAGGTCATTGGTGACGTTTTTAGTCAGGACTCTTCCAGCTTTGTAAATCCAATCACTTCCAGTTAGATTTGAGGCTTATCAAAATTGGATGCAAGGATTTTTCTCTTAATAATCAACCATAGGTTGTCTCAGGCCTGGGTGGTTATGGGTAAATTACCTGCTGCTTTTAAGGCTAGAGGAAACATTTGCCTGTTTTAGGAAGGACTATTAGTAAGGGCAGAATTTTCTCACATATTCAGCCACTGGATGGGATGTCGTAATGATGTTTAAACACCTTTTTTTAAATCTCTGTATTCTAATGGGTAGGTAGGATAGCAGAGAGCAGGAATAATTCCTATTCCAGCGCAAAAAGCATTAGACCTATTGCCCTGACCTTCTGTATGTTTTGGGACATTTTCCTGGGTTCCAAGGGACTGATCATTGCTAAGGGCACAGTGGAGGGGCAGTAACTGAAGCAAGAGTATGGTTATCATCAGCCATTTGCTTTCCATGACAACTTTCTTTATTCTTTTCCCCCGAGGCATCCTTGTATTACAGTTACCCTAAAAGCTGGATGGTAAATACGCTCTGTCATGCCTGTTCGGTCAGTCTGGTTTCTAGTCAGCGATTGCAGTGTGCATTTTCTCACTTGCTTGGGATTCCTTTGTTAGCGCTAAATCCTGCAAAGCGTCAAGGGCTGCCAACTTAACGTGCAGAAGAAAGAAAGCAGCAGAGGCTGGTCGGCCTCCAACAGCATCGGGCCTTTACAGAAGAGGGGCTTAGTCCTGAGCTTGCATGTTGTCAGTTTGCCAGTTGTTTAACTGCATGTGTACAGTGGGACTAAGAAAGGAGCTGTTAATGCTTCGGTGACAAAAGCCATCCTTTGGAATCGTGGGGTGCCCCACCAGGATGAAAAAGCAAACGCAAGCAGGCTTTCCAAAAGAAACTGCTTGCCGTCCTTTCAGAAGCAAGGCACGTTTGCTGGGGCAGTCCCCAGTGGTTCAGGAGCTCTGTTTGAAAGTAGATTTTACTCAAGTACTTTGGTTTTGAGAACTCCACGCTACCTCTTTTTTCCCCCTGAGGATGCTGACAACCATTCTGATTTTATTTCACATGTCAACACTCTAAAATTCAGTGCATCTTCAAAGCAAAGGAAAGATCAATGGCTCTAGTGCAACCTGAATAAATTGAACTGGTGTGCTCTAACCACTAATAACTCTTCTCTTTTTAATTACATTCGTTGTGTGTAGTCTCTTGGTTTGTGAGCAAGATCTTGTAGCTTCACTCAGTTCATGTTTTATTCTATGTATTATACTGTTAAATAGACTTCACTTTTTTCTTTTGTCACTGTCACATTTGTGTTGTTTCTTTTCCTGCCAGCTGTCAGGGCATGAAAAGGTATGGATCATAGCGTGGAAAACTTCCTTTCAATTTCAGCATATGTGTTCCTAATGAGCTGATGCAGTTTTGTGTGGCTTTCTCTTTGTTTGCCCTTTTTTCCTCCAAAACTTCCTTTGTGCAGTATTATTTTGTGTTTGGTCTGTCTCTTGAAGACAAGCCAAGTATTGATAATAAGTTCCATGTTATTAGTCTCAGTAGTATAATATTGGAGTTGTGTGCAGTGACTTAGTTGTATCTAATCAGATATACCCTTTACTGTAGAAAAATGCTGTTTTAAGAGAGGTACATCTAACACCATGTGCAAACCCCTGCAAAGGGTGCCCATCAAAGGGCAGCACTTAGGTGATCTTCAGATAGCACATTAGAGCCTTTTGCTATAGTCATAGTACCGTGCAATAGCCCAAAGTTAGCTTGACTGAAATAGTTAATGAAAACTGTTGCATTACAAATTTCTTCTTCTTTGTTTTAAGGAAGAATAGCTAGCCAAGTTATTTTTAAGAGCATAGCTTAAATGTTTCTGTTCAAATATTGGAATCGTGTGTATATTTCTGCAGCTTCAAACAGCAGCATCCAGAAGTTACGTTGGCTCAAGCGCCCCAGCCGGAATAAGCAAAGATGAGGACACAAGTCGTTTTCATACCACCAAGAGGGGGAATTTCCATGAAGTTTTTAACCTATCAGAAAATGAGCGTCCTTTGGCAGGTATTAAGCAACAGCAAGGCTACATTAGCGGAGTATTTCCTAAAAAGCCAACGATAGTTTAAGGCTGAATTCCCTTTCTGTGCAATGTGCTGTTATAAGCTTTTGGTTAAAAAGACTTGCTTTAAATTATGATGAATGGAGATGGTCTCTTTCATTCCATATCCGTGCAGTTCTTTGGAAGAATGCACAGCCTGGCGTGCCTTTTGTGGTAATGCAAATGCAGGAGACAGGTTACAGGGAATAATTGGGTGGGTGGGTTTTGGTTTGGATTTTATTAAAACAAGAGTTAAAACAGATGTAATGATGTCTAAAAACACCTTATTTAGGCTTTCCTTCGTAAACTCTTCTAGTTTTAGTTATCTAAATTTTAATTTTCAGTGTGTTCTGCTGTTTTGTAAGGAAACTGTTGGGGGTAATGCCTGTCTCCTTTCTTGTTCTTAAAGTAAGATTTCTTAATATGATTTTTTTCAGTGTGTGAAAATGGCTGGCGCTGTTGCTTGATTAACAGAGATAGAAAGATGCCTACAGACTACATCAGGAATGGAGTTCTTTACGTCACAGAAAAGTGAGTCATTGCACTCCACACACCTAGGAGGGAAGTGCAACAGACATGAAAAAAATCTGAATGTAAAAGTAATCCTTTAACAATGTTTTGGAACCAAAGAGAGCACCTTAAGGAGAGGGAGAGCTGAATCTGGGGCGTGGTAACACTTAACAAATGTGATTTTTCACCTTAGGAAGGCTTGTGTACAAATGGAATAGCTCTAAGCAGTCAGTTGTTAGTAGCTGCAGTTCTTGATGTGGATAACATGATATATATATTAAAAAAGGAACCTAAAACCTAAGTGTATTTTGAGAGTTGCGATCAATCATTATTTGTCAAATACTCTGAGTTACTTTTTTAAAAGCAATTTGAACGTACAGTTTCCTTGAAAGAATGTGAGACAAAAAGAAAATACAAATTCAAGCCTTGGTTTCAAAACTAGTACTTGATTTTTACTTTTTCTAATCCTTACTCACCCCTCAGCCTCCCAGGGCTGAATAACTATTGTCACTACTGTTTGGGTGTCGCACTGAAATTCTTTGGACTGTAATGAATGGAAGTAAAGCTCATCTGTATGCAATGTCACTTAGTGATGGAGACCACTTTTGTGTTTAGAAATCTGAGCTTTTGTCTGCATCACGAAACATGAAACTAACGCAGTGCTTTCCATTAATCTTCTTTTGGGATGGTAAAATATTTATGAGCCTTTTGAGATTTTTTAATTTCAGCTGTTTAGGGATACATGTGCTTCCTGTGTCTTTACAATATTTGTCAGACTTAACCATTCAGTGCAGTAGTATAAATACAAGATCTTTTGTGTGTGCATGCTGTATGTTCTGGGCTTTCAGACACATTAGCCAGTTAATAGAACTTAAGAACGTTTGCTCTAAATTAGAAGCCATAACTGAATTGTGTATTGTGTGCCTCTTTCTTTTGTTTGAAGCTGATTTTAACCTGTGAGACTTCAAACTTCAGAAGTGGCAGGAGGGATATTGAGAGCTTTGTTTTAGAATACTGTATCAAAATAAGCATTTTCTTTCCTTTCCTTTCCTTGTCTTCAGTTATTTGTGCTTTGAAAGCTCCAAATCCGGCTCATCTAAAAGAAATAAAGTTATAAAGCTAACGGATATAACAGATATTCAGAAGGTATGTCTGTTCTGTGTTGCAAATAGGGGAGAAAGCTTGTTTTTCTGTTCAGCTAGTCATGTTTTGCTTTTCTGCTTGTGTTATTTTATAAAAAACATGCCACTGATAATTTTTATAAGTAAAATGTAATTCTTTGACCAAGAATATTTCCCAGAACTTCTTGTTTAGCCATTTGGACTCACCACAAGCAAGCTCACAAATAGCATAAAACCCAAGTAGTTTACTTGGTTTACTTACCCTTACACTTCTGAATTATTTTAAAATTAAAGTTGTGTTGTTTCTTAACTCCTGTGTTGACTACAGCCATGTAGGCTTTAAGGTTTATTGTTAACAGGAACTGTGTAATACTGATTTCAGTTTGGGTGCTGATACTGGTAGATGCACCATCTTAAAAGTAGGTGCCTCAGAGGGGAGAGGGAGTATTGTCAATGGAGAAAAGCAAATCATGAGAATAGCCGGACTGGATTGGGCTGGAGTTTCCGCGTGCTGGGATCCTGTCACTAATGGAGGCGAGAAGTGGATGGGTAGAAGCGTGGCGACTACAATGTGATCCTTCCCCTGGTCGAGCTTTACCAGCCTGCAGTCACTGATGGCTTTATTGCTGCCTTGCATCACTCTGTATGGGGCTTAAGGTCACTTTCTGTTACCCTCTGAACTTGTCCTACTCTTAAATTTTAATAATGGTAGAAAAAAAACCCAAAATCCTCCAAAACAAAAAAAAACTCAACAATCTATGCGTACCCTGCTTGTCCATTTAATTTTGAAATAGAAGCTTTTTCTGGTCTGCTTGCTGCTCCTTTGGACAGTGGGTGAATGTTACTTCTAGGGAAACCCCACAGCGATACGCCCAGGCACGCTCTCACGTATATACGCCTAGGGCCGGGTATACGCATGTACCTCTCAGCACCAACCAGCTGCCCGTGTGGTCCCTGGGCAGCTCCAAAGCACTGGGGCGGTCCCGGGGTGCTCGGTTTGGGGCCAGGACTGGTTGCAGCAGGCAGGCTGGGTGCTGTGGCGCGTGGGAGGGAGAGCAGAGGCTGGCTCTTGCTGCACCAGTGATGCCGTGCCCGTTGACTCCAGGGTCGGAGAGCAGCGTCTGGCCTCTTCTTGTTTTAACAGAGGTCTGTTAGTTGTGCCTGGAAGGACACACCAGTGAGGAGTTGTGTGACCTTCTCAGCACCTTTTGCAGTTGTTCAGTATATAAGGTATCTTTGATCTGTGTGTTGTTTTTTTTCTTTTTAGTATAAAGTGCTCTCTGTTCTCCCGGGATCAGGGATGGGTATTGCTGTATCAACACCGTCTACACAAAAAGTAAGTAGCTAGCTGAATCTGTATTCATAGAATAGAATCACAGAATGGTTTGGGTTGGAAGGGACCTTAAAGATCATTTAGTTCCAATTCCCCTGCCATGGGCAGGTGTTGCTGTGTTGGACTTCATGCCCTTTTTGTCTTCCTTCTCTGGCTAGCACCAGCATAAAGGCTTTCCCCCCCTGCCTTATGCCAGCATTTGGCTTTTTTTTAATTCACTTTTTTTTAATTTCGGTATATTTGGCTTCAGAATTACAATGGTTTAAGCATTTAGCTTGTTCTACTGCATCTGGAGTATTTTACTACAACACTTAAAGATTTGTTCCATCCTTTCTGCTCCATTAATTCATTACCTTATTGACATGTTCCCTCAGCATCCTTCCTCAGGAGCATGGGGGCTGCTCTGCTGTGCAACTAAAAACTGATGGCTTGAGAGTATCTGTGGGCAAGAAAGATTTGGGGTAGAACGGCCTGGCCCTCAGGTGCAGTTTTCCTGTTTCAGTCTTACAGTGCTAAAGATTTAAGCATCCCTAAGCCTCAAATGCCCTTTGGGTGACTGAAGCTTTTCTTAACATATGACTGCACCTTATTTTAAACCAATCACCCATAAATAACTTTTCTCCAAGTCACACGACTGTTGTAGCAGGCTTTCTGCTTCTTGTTTGATATTGAGAATTATTTCTTAATTAGGAGGTTGAAAATGTTCATCTACCTAAATAAATATTCTGTCAGCCGGAACAAAGAGGCACTGATAAAGATTTTTAGAAATAATTAATGGAGGCAGAAGTCAATCAGGAAAACATCATGCACTGTGCAGATGGTGAGGAAAGAGAGTTGAAGTGTTCTCTATTGCTAATACTAGATGCATTTTATGCTATAGTTGCTTTAAGAAGAGGATGGAGAATCAAAAAAGATCTTAGAAACTCTGCCATATATACAAGGATTTAGTAGAGAAAAGGATTTTTGTGTCTTCGTTAGTGCACTTTGAGTACAGTTCTTCTCCTGTTCCTATTGATTTGGCCTAAACTATACCTAGAGGAAGAATTTTCTTTTCTGGACTGACATGATCTTTTCTTCTGTCTTTTAGCCTCTGGTGTTCGGTGCCATGGTACACAGAGATGAAGCTTTTGAGACAATTTTCAACCAATATGTGAAAATAACCTCTGCGTCATCAAGCAGTGAGAGCTAGTATCTTAGAAGATCTAAAGGAAACTTTCTTATTTTACAACTTGGTAGTGAAAAAAAATGAACATCCTCATCTATTTTGCAATAATTTTTCTTGTCTGGTGGTTTATATTCTATCTGTTACATAAATCAAGTGTATTTTATATATGCCTTCATGTTTGTTTTTAAGGTTTTTGTAAAAAAAATACAACAACAAAAAAAAAGAAACAAAACAGTGAAAGTGCTATCATCACTATTAGCCTTGCACATTAAGCACTTTTAATGTTTATTTACTGACATTAAAAGCTGGGAAGATACTTGGAGAATGGACTAGATAAGGAATTGAAACAGACTGATCCCTTTAACTCCACTGATATCATTAGGGATGCATCTTAGCTGTTTTTCCCCAAGATGTGAGAATGACAACTCCAGTGGCCTGAAGTCTCTTGCTTCGGCTCAGAGGTTGGTAATGGGGTTCTTTACTAAAACTGATGGCGACCCCAAGGGAGTATGGTCATCTTAGTATTTCCGCATGTATAACTGCACTTAGAATAACTCCTCCTTGCTAGTTCTCACAGAAGGCTATTTTACCGGTTCGGTTTCTCCTGCGTAGACATTTAAATTGCTTGTACAGTGAATCGGAGAGAAAGTTTGTAACTATATCTTCCTTTCCTGATTAACCAAAATAAGAGGAAGGAAGGCAGGCAGATACTTTTTATAAAAGAGGGCACCAAAATGTTGTTCCTAAAATGTTAGGCATCATATATTTGTATTTCTGTAGATAATTGTCATAGAAGGGCTCAACTGTTGTACATGTTGTATGTACAAGGTGTTTGTATGTTAATGCATTAAAGACTTGCAGGCTTTTCGTGTTGGGGGAGGTGGGAATAAACTAAACTGAGACATGACTTTTTTAATTTGGCTTTTCTCTTGAGTTACCCTGTAGTAAAACAAGACTGTAATAGAGCAGCTGAAAGCACTAGTTCCTTTTCAAAGCATATATTTGAGGGACATTGGTATGTTGCTGTCTTTCCCCTTGCAAAATTAAACTTCAGTGAGAATTAAACCCAACTGCCAGGTGAAACAGGAAGGCTGTGCTCCTTCTCTAAACTCTCAGGCCTTTTTAGAAGCAAAGCACATATGGACCTTTGTCTTTTATATAGAGTATATAAAAGCTTTTTAATATTACAGCACCCATCTGAGAGGTTTAGAATTTTATTTGCATTTGCACGAAAGCACAGTAGGAGTTAAGTCAAGCCTTCCAGTATGTCTTTCCCTTTGCCATGTCTTTTGAGTTTAGTAGTATGGATGTCTCCTGACATTACATGAATGTCCCTCAAAAAAAGCAATGGAGATGCAAATTCTTATGTAAAAACAGGACTTAATTTCATAGACATTTTTTTTTTTCCTCTTTATTTTTTAAGCAGGAATTTCCTTTCTTCTTAGGGAAAGGGGTAAAATGATGAAGGAGGGAGAGGGGAGACAGACACCAAAGGGTGTTTAACTCTTGGCACAGTTTGTAATTGAAGTCTCCCAACAAACGCAGCAGTATTTAAGAAGGTGGAACGGTACCAACCTTATTTCAGTCTGGCCTTGAAGAGGTATGATATGAAGAACTTCATATGAATTTAATATGAAGAAATACTCTTGAATACTGTGATTAGTTTGGGTATTGTAAAGTGAAACATGGACAGGGTAAAACTCTGTGCCCTGGGTGGAAATGTGAACAGGAACGGGGGAGAATGCACTGTAGTGGCTAAAAGGCTATTTTTGAGACCTCCCTTTAGAGTAGCACTTCAACATGACTTTACATGTCCTGAAAAAGGGGTGCATTTCTAACACCTCCTTAGGTATGCTGTAACTCAGGGCCTGAAAACTTAAAGTGTAAGTAAAGCTGGTGGGAAATCCATTTTGCCACCATGTAATACGGATGTAGCGTGGTAGTTTATGATTTCTTCACTTTGCACATTCAAGTTTTATGTTTAAGTAAGAATCCTTGAGCTTTAAATTTTCTCACTGAACCTCCTTTAAAATCAGTTAACTTCTTTTTGTAATTGCTGTATATTATCATTTGGCTTTCCTCTCTAGAAGCTTTCTTGAATAGTGAGTATGGCTAACAAATAGGCATTAAAATCGCTTAATGTTATATAAATCTTAATCAGATTCATTCATTTTTGTCTTAAAAAATCGCTTGGGTGTGTTTAAGGTGATCCTTTTTTTTTTTTTAAGAACAGAAAACTATATTTTTTACAGAGAGCATGCTCTTTTTTCTTACTTTTGTATCATTTTTCAAGTGTAATTTATACCTTCACTCTGATCATAACAGCAGTTTCAGTAGGAAATCAGTTGACTTGCACTTACTACGTCCTCCCCCTCCCACCCGTCACTGGTTGACCCCCGTATATAAGGTTGTCCTGGATTCTGGTTCTTGGAGGAGCTATAGGTCCTATGCTGATGGTGCCAGGACAATTAACCATACCTAGGTTTCAGAGAGGGAGAAGAGAAATCATTGTCCTTTTCCCAGACTGAAATGCCTCTTGTGTACAATATGCTCTTAATTTTCTTTTTTCTGGACAAAGACATTAAAAACTTATCAAATGTGACGTGGTGATGTTTGAAATGACAGTGTGAACGGAAAAATTAGCAATTCTTAAAGCAGTAAACCTAGTGCAAACTGCAATGCAACGTTGTTTCGTTCTAATACATAGAAAACAGACTGGATTTTTTTTAAAAAAAAGATACAGTTTTAATATAACTGACAAACATCTCTGTACATATTTTGCAAAGTTGACTTTACATTGGGTCGTCCAGGTTCCTGCTAACTGCTCCTGCAGCGTGCGTAACGCCGGATGCTGGCAGATAAACTCGGTGGGTTTGCTCGCAGGTGCTTTTCCTCCTGCTGCACCCTCGTGCCTTCGGAGGGCAGGCGGGGATGGACAGTGAGTAAATGCATACTTGACTTGTGTAACTGCACCGAAGTTCATCTTAAATTCCAATCTTCCTACGTAGCTTTGCAGTAGAGCCTGCTGTCCTCCAGTGACAGGCTGGGTCCTACCACTTAATGTAAAGTGCTACTTTCTGATAGCAGAAGGTGGTGTTCGTGTCATTCTGTCTGTTTGCTGTTGATAGTTGCAATTCTGTTGACGTCTGCGTTTGTTGCTGGATCATTCACATGAAATTGGATTTAACTTCCTCAGAAGTGCCGTTTGTGGTTAGTTTGAGTCCCTTTTAAAGAAAAAAAAAAAGGGAGATGAAAACTGACTGCTTTTAATTCTTTTATCGGTGACCATTTAAATTCAAAATGCAAAAAAAGCTGAAATATGAAATCATGCCTTTCCATGCACTGTAGCTTTCTTGAGGCAAGATTGAATGAAACAAGCTATTTAGGAGTAGCAACATCACACAGGATGCCAGCAGCAAAACCCAACCCTTGTTCCTGCAGACAAAAAGGAAAGAGATTTTACCCAATTGTGAAGAGATGAAAGGATGTACTTTTTTTTGGCTACTTAAACTTGTATTAAAAAACACCGGTAGTTTTTATTGAATTCTGTACATTTTGGCAGATGTTTAATTTCTACTAATCATTGAAAATATAATGGGTGTTAAAATTTTTATGTCTGGAGTTTGAGTCTATATTTTGAAGTTGTAAATAATTATCAGTGTAACTTTTGTTTGACAAAAGACTTATACTGTATGAAGAATTGAAATAATGAAATTATTTGCCCTGTACATTTTTTAAGAAAATCTTGTTTCTTTAAAAAGTCTTGTATAAATTATAATTTTTATTTAAATAAACCTAAAAATGCTTTGTGCTAACACTTTTTACAAACTTTATTGGCTCGTCTGTCAAAACTTTGCCCAATTTCTCGAAACGAGGTGAGTTAGTGCTTTTTGGCAGACTCATAGCCACCTCAAGTCCATTGGTGGGCGGGGCGGGAGGCGGGGGGGCTTTGTTTGTCACTGCTTTTGAAGCCCAAGGAACTTGCTTTTATTTTAAATAATCACGTTAGTGTACTGGAGAGCATATGCATATTTTTAGCTCAATCTTTATAAGTACATCTGTCACTTTAGTCATATGGTTGATTTAAGGGATGATAAAGGGATTTAGGAAGATGATGCTGTTGCAGCAGGGCGTGGGTGGCACGAGACTGCTCGTCGGAGTAGAAACTCCTACCGGCCAGAGCTCCTCCACGAAGCAGATAGCTGCAGGTGGGCACTGGAGGTAAGAATCAGCCCTTTCCCACCCTGGGGGTGTGTGGGAGGTGTGCTCAGCAGACACCTTCCACGTCCAGATGCGTCTGTCCTTCCTGCAGCATCTGCCGTCACCAACAGGTATCTAATTGCTGAGCCTTTGGCTGTGTAACCTGTTGGGGATAAATGGCAGGGCTTCTTTAGCCGCGGTGTATGCCGGGGGCGTCGCTGCGCAGCGCTGGCACTCAGCAGGTACATGGGACTTTGACTGCCCTTCGGAACACGATACCGGGGTGAGCTGCCTGGTCATCTAATCCAGGCCTATTTGTTTGCCTTTACAATACTCCTTTCTGTGTTTTGCTGAGCTGAAACCGATGAGGCTGTGACAGATCCTCCGGTCGTGAATGTGTGCTGCTCTATTTATTTCAATACTTATTTTTCTCGCAATGGCAGCGATGCGCCTGGCCGTGTAATGGCGCTTTAAGCCCGTGTTCTACGTGTTCAGAGAACGCTTAGCTTCACACCTGTACTACTTTTAAGGCATTTTTCATTAAATATTTGTACAAGATGAGTTGCACCTGCAGCAGCACTGTCTGGAAGCAACCCTGCCTGCCTGAAGCCTCACGTGGGGTCGGGAAGCCTCGTTTTGGCCGTGAACCATGTGACACTTGGGAAGAGGGGATGGTCTTCCTGAAAACAGCACTTGCTTTCTCAAACTCCCTTTGGCAGCCCGTGAAGATAACAGAATTGAATTGCATGAGCCGTTTACCGGCTCTCGGCGTGACTCTAACGCCTCTGTGAGGAAAGGAGGCACGCCGGCAGTGCCAGGGTGAACAGGAAAGGGCAGTTACTCAGCTTGGAGAGGCTGAGGCCTTTTCTTTGCCATTACTT